ACCTAGAGAGTCTTCTCTACTTCAAAGATTAAACAAAATCAAAGTCAAAAGATATCAGACCAAAAATATATGGATGGCTCCAATTCAGTCTGGGTCTACGCATTTGCTTCCTTTCCATTTGAAGCTAACGTCTCCATCTGAAGGACAGATGCTCCCAGATGCTAACAGAAATAAGCTCCCAGACCACCACCATGATAAATGACAGGTAAGTGATGAGGAAAAGCAACTAAAAATACAAAGTTTGGTCAACCTTGTTCTGCCCACTCCACTCTCTGCATGATTCATAACCAAATCACTAACTACTCCATGCTTTCCAGAATCAACAAAAGTTAAATAACTCCAAAGCAATGGTGTGAAAGGAAGAACTTAAGACCTTACTTAAGTAATTATCTCTAGTGAGGCAAAGTCATGCAAAAGCACAGCTGGCCTGAGTTAGATTTCAACACGGAACAATGGTCAAGTTCCTGGAGCCTGAGGCCAGGCCTATGTCCAGGGTGTTCTTTCTGTCAGAGACCACCAAGCAAGGATCAAAGGATGAATTCAATGAGAGTCAGCAGGAGAACAAAGGAAATGGGCTTTTGATCAAAATGCATCCCTTTCTACTTCCTCACAGGGTAACTTTGAGGTTGGCCAAAGTACCTCAGGAGCAGAACGGGAAGGGAAAGTGAATGGAGCTCTGTATCAGGCACTGTCCCCAGTACTTTCCATGTGTCCTATCTGTAAGGCTTACAACAACTATAGGAAGTAAGTACTAGTATTATTCCCATTGTACAAAAGGGAAACTAAGGCATGGAAGGGTTAGGGAACTGGCATATGGTCACACTGGCTAAGTTATATCTAAGCAGAATGTGAAAAGACCTGTGGAGTTCATGAAGGCGTCTTAGCTTCACCCAATGTGTCTAACATGGAAGTCCTCTGAAGACCTCATGCCAGCCACAGAAGTTTGAGCAGCTTCCAGAGGTCCATTTTTTGGGTGTGTTGTGAAGTGGATTTGTGTGTTAAACTAGATGACCTCGCTGCTAACTGTGCCCCTTTCTCTATACTGTCTCCATAACAAAACAGGAATGGACAAATCAGCCAACAGGTACTAATTCAGCAATCATATTTGTAAAAAGGGTGATCTGCCCAAGTGTAAGCCTATAGAAGATTCAAGTTAGACAGTCTGCCCTTGAGGAGGTACCCATCTAAGACAAATAACACTGACACACAAACAAGAGGACACGGCCAATGGGACAAGCAGTATCAGCAAGGTGTTCACGTTGTCAGGAGATGCGCTGTTGAATACAACTTTCTGAGGCAATAGAAATGTTCTATATTTATGCTGTACAATACAGAAGCTATTACCCACATGTGGTTACGAGCACTCAAAACATGCCTAGTGTAACTGAGGAACTGAATTTTTAATTTCATTTCATTTTAAT